CCCAGTGTTACTTTATTTCAGGATAGCTCTCCACTAAAATTCTACTTGAGAAAGCTGTCTCATCTTTGCGATTAGCTTGCAGAGTCTTCCAGTATTGCTTTTATTTCTCTGGCTTGTTTATTCTAAGGATAAAACTGAACAGGGTCTTCTGTCCTTGTCAATTCTCATGTATTTTCACAAAAAGCGCTCTTTTAAAGCCAAGTGTTGAGACAGTGTCCCATTACAATAGGCTGTATCTTAGCTTCTTCAATAACTGGCTGACTCATATGAAAAAGGTACATATAATTATACGGCTTAACATTAAGTTTAATGCTCTTTCTAACTTTCCTTTACAGTACTATCGGTTTACTATCCTAATTTAGCTAAACCTAGATATAAGTCAACCATTACTATGACATACTAGGATCACGAGCAAATCACGCTTATTATTGTCATCTAAGCCACTAACTAAGAATTGTTCTTTCTTCAGGACTAAATCCATCTCTTATGATTTATATTTAATCTCTTACTAGGATAATTTAATTCAGAGACATGTAATAGGAATTACTTCCACAGTTTCACAATGTTTCGTGTTCTTACGAGTATGATAAAAGGGACCATAAATTAATATCTTTGTTCGATAGGGTAACAAAAATAAAAAAAATAAATCCTCCCTTTTTAGTTAGCTTTGCTCCAGCTTGCTTTAGTATATTTGGAACAAATTTAATTTTCTGGGACCGCCTCAGCTTAGACTTCTGGGCCCTGACAGGTAATCGACGCGTTCTTTATAATAGACAATTTTTAAAAAAAAAATGAAAGTAAAATTACTTAACGAAATTTTTGGCTCACATCCAGCAGACTTGATCACTATAAACCCCTAGACTGTAAAATCCTAATACATGAGCTTGAATATAAAAGTGAGGTCGTTCTTCTAGCCAAGCCGACAGACTCATCTAGGGATGAATACATTCACTTAATTTATCAACGGGGAAATTTGTAAGATCTAGAGACGTGGCGTGTTTCGAGGACAGCTTTCCATTAGTTATTGCTAACTACCCCTCTGCAATCTCCTATAAAGATGAAATGCATAAATTTGATGAAAAATTAATTTAAGGGCAACAACTTTCTGATACTACAATCGATTTTGCAAGCAACATCAACCGAACATTATAGCTAGGGGAGATACAACATCTCACATAAAAGCAACTTGCGATATAAATTTCTTAAGGATATAAATGATTAGACAAGGTGTATTTCGATTCCGATAACAACAACATTACGATAGTATTAATAACAGAGCTTATAATGGTAAATAGTAATAATTGTAATAGTAATCATTACAGCAACCCAATAGTCTAGCTTTTTTTGGTTTTAATTGTTGTTAAGCCCCGAAACCAAAAATAAACAGCTATAAGGCGAAGGAGCGCAAAGTGAGAGAATACTCCCTTGCATTTATAAGTATTTTTTTTACATATATAATAAGTCCCCTCAAAGTTCCTGAGTTAACCCACAGCTCCCCCCCCCTTTTGAAAGAAACCATTCCATTCCTTGGTTATAATCTTTAATTGATTCGTGCCAAAATTTCAAGTCACTGCGCCCAAGGGAGCGGTGATCATATATATAATATGCTAGGAAATAACACTATTAAATTAAAATACTCATAGTTACAATAAACGTAGCAACAAGCACCATAAGTACACCGACGGGACTTTATGCAATCGTTAAGTTAAGTAGCCTAATAGAAGCTAAACCGCACCGATGACCTCAGGTTAAGACAGTAGTGCTATTTTCGTTACTGAGATTACTAATCCAGTCCTCATGTTTGCTTTCAGCCGCACTTACTTGCACGGAACAAGAGCTTAACTTAGCAACTTAGCCTGCGTTCGTCAACTGTTTATAATAGTGTCCATATTGACCACAACAGACCTTTTATAGCGGAGTGTAAGAACAAACCGCTCCGAAAGGCGACGCTAGTATAATTGAGTTACCGAAATTCTTAATTTCCAGTGAATTAACCCCTGTTATGTTCAAAATAATTTTTAAAAAAACGAACTTCAGGTGTAGATAAAGCATTGTTTTATTAAGGGAAAATATATCGTTCAAGCTTAGCAAGGGCTCGTAAAGTGTTATATAAGGAATCTGCTCCGCCGACAATAATAATTTGTCGGTGATTTGCTGAGTTTACAGGGCAATAGGGACAGATATAATACTTGAACGCTCTGTAACAGGTTAAATACGTGAAACCATCATACCGGAATCGAGAGTTGTCGTCGTAGTTTAGCAGTTAAGAGCATGGACGCGCATACTCAAGGCCTCGGATTCCTTTCCCATCGACGCGACTCTCTTTTTCGGTCATTGATGTGGCGTATTTTAACCTCGCCCTCATAAATTTTATACCTAAACGCCCAATGAAGAGTTTATTTCAGAGAACAGCCCAAAAAAAAATACTCGTTGACGATCATAAGAGGGAAGTGGTGTTCAATTTAGCTGAGTTAACTAATTTCGCAAAGATATAAATATTAGGTGTAAGCTTATTTAGCCAAACATTTGGGCATAAGAAAACTCTGTTCGAAATGGGCGCCGACTTCGCTCACCGTGAGAATTCTGTAAAGTGTTCTCAAAAATTGGCGACAATGGTCTCCTTATAGACGCAGGTCCGCCTTCCGCAAATCATTGACCAGTGAGGAGTTGTAACTCCTAATACTCATAAGCGCTGTGAAAACGGCGTATTCACCGGCATTTATTGGAATAATTACTAATTTTTTAGGCCCCTAAATCTTAACCTCGAAAACTTCTCGCAATTGGCTTTTGCAGACGTTTTACAAATTTATAAGAGTAACAGGTGGAGTCGCGGGAACACATATATGCTGGGTAACAATATTTGCCACTATAGCTCATGGATACCGTTAGCTAGGTCGCCCGCTAGTAGTGCTAGCAAATGTAAACGATTTGACTTCCCTAGTTACAATACAATATAAGATGTGATTCTACTAAAATGAATTAATCACGTTTCACATCTTTATATTTGTCGTTTTATGTGTTGTTAACCGTAGTTGTCAGAGTATTTCAAAAAAATAGTTTGTGATGGCCGCACTAATTCGTGGTCTTCAGTCAATATTTAATGTTTCCCACAATACGCATCCAAGCACTTCCGATAACTACTTAGGACAAGAGTAAAAATATATATAAGCTACTAGGGACGCTAAGTTTCGCTTGTTTATTTGCTCTATTTTCAATACGCTTTGATTTTTGGGGTATAACTATTAAAACATAAGCTAATTTGATATAAAATATCGCAAGGACAACCTTTTAAATCTTGCTTGTTTTAAAAATTTATCTTGTTATAACAATATTAAAAATTGGATTTTAGAACCTCCATCAAATAAGTTTTCAAAAACAATATTTATGTCTTTGATAAAAAAAACTATAACCGGCCTTACACAAACACAGGAAAGTTAGAAGTTGCTCTTGACAAAATTTACTACTTCGTTTATTTAACGAATTTATAAACTGTACGGCATTAACTTTTTTAAGAGACGATAGTATGCACCACCTTCTATCGTTCTTTTCCTTTTCTGAAAACATCTTTTGTGCTTCTTTGTACGTAAATGGCCGATACCCACTTTCATATGCAAAAATTTACCAGTGGCAGTAACTCGGAAACGCTTCGATGCCGACTTTCTAGTTTTAACTTTTCTGGGCAATCGTTGCAATCTTCGTTTTGCGAGTATAAGACGTTTTGACTTAGATGTTCGAATAAAATTAAGCAACAGAGGTTTTTTATCATACTGTTCTTTCCACTTGCTATTATTATAAGTAACGTAGGTTTTAAAAGGTGAAAAAGAGTGGAGGGTTAACAAAAGTCTTTTGAATATTCTAAAATTACTAAACCGATTATAAGGAACAATCTTTTGGGACCTTTGAAATAACTTTATTAATTACAGAATTAATAACTACAAAAAAATAGGAAAATTAAACAGTAAAACCTGTTCTTGAAGAAAGTGGGACGTAAAAATTTTTGAAAAAAGTGTATAATTCTTACTCAAGTTCATTAGTAAATTCTATGTTTCAAATAAAAACAAATTTTGTAAACGTGTTAATAAAAATAAAACGAAAAAATTAAGCTAGGAATAAAAAGCTTACAACTTTATTTGATGAACTTAAGTTTAAAAAGTAACATACAAATTGCGACAATTTAGGTATGAAAAAAATTAATTGTTGGGAGTGTGTAAGCCGCGTGCTCCAGCAAATTTTCTTTCTAGGTTAGGGTTGTTAGAGTTGAAGTCTACCTAATTTTAGCTATGATAACATACACGGCGCTTGCACAAAATGTTATGGCATCATTAGGATTTAAATTTACATTTACAAGAGTGGGTTATTCAGTGAATGTACGTCTCTAGAGTAATTATTTGTTTCATGTTATGATGTACTACTACCAAATAATAGAACGTACATAAATGATTGTAATTGATTATTTTATAAATGTAAATAGTCTTCTTCAAAGGTAAGAACCGCTTTCTTGGTTTGGTTCCTAAGGGTAAGTGTGTAAATCACTCTTTCATATTCAATAAACTCTCACATTGGAATAGTTTAATATATAAATTCAATAAATTAACCTCCCACCAACTAATTATATATTAATGTTTAAAATTTACTCAGACATATTATTTGAAATATAAACATAAGAATGTCTTAGTGATTGCTCAAACTTGGGATTTTGCATAGTTATTTTTGGTTTAATTTTATATAGTATATATAGAAATATTATGAGTAATAAACGGGGTAACAGGTTTTTCCTCAATTATTGTCTTTCTTTCATTTTTCTATTCCTTTTTTTCGCTTGCCTTCTTATTACGTTATAAGCACAAATTTGCTCTTTTTTGTTATTTTGTCATTTTATCTCCTATTCCATTCCTTTTTTTGTATTTTACTTGACAATATTAAGTCTTTCAGTTTTTCAATTTTTCTATTCTTTTGTGACTTTTCAAAAAAATCTTTATTTATCATTTCTATTTATTTTTGCTTACTAAAGAATTGTCGCCCTTTTCAATCTTTTGCGCTTTATTCATTTAACTCACTCTTCTACTTCTTTAATATACTTAATAAAAAAGCATGCAAATTCATCTAGTAGGTTCTACTACCTGGATTGCTCGAATGCTCCGGAGCTTCACATCTTCAATGGCTAATTGATATCAAACTGGCCTTGACCTGCCATGGCATACATGACTTCTTACAATTGAGAAAACTGGCGAAAAAGAAATAAGTTCACATAAGAGACTCGTAAAATCTGCGATAGGCAATCAAGTAATTATGAGTACCGTACATGAAATCAAAGAAAAATAGGCAATATCGATATTACACAGTCTGAAACAGTCAAAAAGCGATAAAAAACAACTTTTGACCGTATATCACTTGCTACATTTTTGGTAAAAATGCAAGACAAGTCCTTTGCATTACTTAAAAAGGAGAAAAAAAGTCTATTCAATAATATGCTAATAGACTTGGTCACTTAACTTGAAAAATTCAGGAGCATTATACTATAAAAGAGTTAACGCCTTATATCTTTAAAATTACGGAATTACATAACACCATTGCTCTTATTTACAGGTGTGGAGATGAATAAAAGTACGACCTGATATTAGAGCAGCAACACACCAATAATCTAACGAGTTGAACTATGTTTATGTTTAAATTCGTTATTACAAACGGAGACCAGAAAACAGGTTGAAGGAACTACATCTACATCTTTGAAAACAAAAACTTTTGGTAACGTCACCTCACGAGAGAGGATAAATTCAATCCTCAGGCATGTTCCTCCTAAAAACTCAAAGGTTGCAATGGCCATCATTTACGAAGTAATTGCTTTTTTTTAAAGACTCGTTGCACCTTGTGGCAAGATAGGGCACAATGACAAAGTATGCTTATTAAAAAGCCCAAAAGTCATACCAATTCCAAATCCCAACTAAACCCGAATCGATATTTAGTTATGACTGCGGTGTATCCACATTTTATCAAAGATAGAGATTTGGTAAAAAAATATGCATTTTGAAAAAGTTCGATTAAGACAATAAAGAAAAACTTAAAATCTTCCCAAGCTGGTTATTTATAAGTTCTAGATAAGGACAAGGTAGTCTACGGCCCTTCTTTCCTCCATAATCTAATTTCAGTAGGAAAATTAGATGAGAAGGGGTACACTACAAAATTTGGCTCGAAGCATGTTTACAATTAAAAAAATATATATTAGTTGCAGAAAGTTCTCTAAAAAATGGGATATACACACTCTCTAATAACAAACCTCTAGATTCAAAGGCTATATGAACCGGACCCTTGACCAAAACAACAAAATATCCTTAAAACACAAGTATGGTCATATTATAAATATCTTAAAAACAGTCTTAAAGTTTAACCCTTTGAGACCCTTCAATGAGAAATATGTCTCGCATATAAAATGAAAAGAAAGAAAGTAAGCAAAATTATTCATACCCATTGCAATAGATTACCTAGTCAACTTTGTTTGTGGATTCTCTGCAATGAGATTTGGTTTCTCTTGATGGCTACCAGTATGTTATTATTGGAAATGACGCTAAATCTGAGTATAACACTGCAATTTTCACTAAAAATATAGAGGAAATAAAAGAAAAACTCCTTGAGTGAATTATATGCCATAACAAGCTTATAAAAAACAAGCGAATCAATGGGAACATGTTAACAGACACTATTGAAAAAATAAGATCCGATAAAGACAGTGAATATGTAAACGAAACTTTAAAGGCTTCTCTAAGAAGAGAAGAGATTTACATACCATCGTGCTTAAGGTTACTCCTCAATATATGCTTAGTGGACGTAGCATTTAAAAAAACATTTAATATGACCAGATGCATATTACAACAATCAAAGTTACCGGTAAATTATTGGAGCGATGCTATACGTGATGCCGTCTTCATAACGAACATCTTCTCTACAAATGACAATGTATTCACACCAAATTAGATTTATGGATTAGAATCACAAGACATCAAAACTTATATGCCTCTCGGTTGCTTCGCTTACTTTTATGATTCAGAATATAAACGGATGACCCAAGATAGAGCATATACTGGCATTATTCTCTCGAAACCTACAGAGTCCACTAGTGATAAATACACCCTTCTAAATACAAGTACCAATAAAACCGTCAATTCTAACGTAGTTTGCCATGAATTTATATTTCCGTATAACAGAAATGAGATAATTATTGATAAAATCACAATTAGAAAAGGTCGGCAGATATCCTCAAATCACCACACCACCTTTACCTAAATATTACCTTATTCCATTTTAAAAATTCCATTTTTAAAGATACTAAAAAAACTATTACCTACTGATTTAAATGAAGTCAAAATAACTCCAACACTTTAGGTTTTAACCTAATTACAAATCATGATTTACCAAATGAAAGTATTTTACAAGATACAAGTGAATGTTACCTTCCGCTAATTTAAACAAAAGTAATACTACTGACCAAGTTGAACACATATATAAAAAGGTACACTCACTAAAATCAAAATCACGAAAAACATTCACGATGACTTTCTTATCAACGATAATAACAAACTGTTTAAACAATCAGAAAATCCTTCTGACCTACTTAATAATGCCCAATTCACTCAAAATACAACAACTACAACAGAAATCAATAATTAAAACTAAACCAAATAGAAGGTTAAGGCAAAAGTCTAAATATCACTAAAAAAATAATGACCAATGCAAGAGTGGTTTACTAAAGTCTGATGTAAACTTACAATTCTATCCGATTACGCATCTTATTCTTTGTCTGGCGACGAACATGAAACTTTATTGAACAAGTTCCCACTCTAGAAGCAGGGAATAAGTGTAAAAGAACTCAACAATTTTCCGATAAAGGACAAGAATCCACAAATAAAAGAATAAAAATAACAATATTCATTTTTGTAGCTCATATTTAACTTTAAGGAGGCAAAGAATAGAGGACAAGAGGCAATATATGAAGACTGCCACTAAAGAGCTCTGCTCGTTGCAAAAATATGTTGGCTTTTAAAATTATAAGATTTCTGGTGTCAGTGAAAAAAAAGAAATATTATCTGTTACATGGTTACTTCACATAAAAAAGAGCAATAATCTCTACAAAGCAAGGTTAACGGCTAGAGGATACCAGCAAATGGAAGGTATTTACTTTCACCAAGGTACACTCCGTTAATTTCTAAGGAAACTTTTCAATAGGTATTATATATTGCAAAATTTAAAAAAATGCCATTACATTAGGAAGGCCAGTGAATGTTTATATCCCTCAGGGTATGTATTTAATTAAAGACTTACTATCTACTGAATAAAGGCAACTACTTCTTGACCATTTTACAAAAAGTGAAAAGAGCATCTTAGAAATTGATGTTGCAGTCTATGGATTAAAGGAAACTGCAAAATTATTTTACAAAGATCTATCAAAATGACTACTTAAATATGGGTACATACAAACTATATTTAATGATTGTATATCTTATTCGGAAGATTTCGATACCATAATTGACGTTTACGTGGATGACTGTATAATTTTGGGTAACGCACAAAGATTTTTTGATAATATCAGGAGCGAATATGAGTTTAAGAAGTCTCCACCAGTTAATAAAATCTTGGGATTAAATTTAACAAAGAAACAATTTTTTTTCCCACTAATTCTCAATGATTGAACAACTTGCATATAAATACAATGTTAATACTAACAACAAATGCCAAATACCTCTTCCTAGAGATAAGGAACTCAAACCACCAAACAATGATTGCTTCATCAATGATTAATATAACAACTTTGTGGGTTCTTTTAAAAATATTGCTGTACAAGATCTGATATATCATATGCGACTATTCTTCTTGGCAGATTTCTAAAGAACTGGTAATGAGCACTTACTAGTTGCATAAAAGACATTGAACTATCTTCATTATACTCACCATTTAAAACAAAACATAAGTAATAACAGTAATATGAATGATGATATAGTTCTCGATTGTTACTATGATGCGTCCTGGGCAAATATTAATGAGTATCGTACCACAATGGGATATATATTTATTATTGGAAAACCCCGTTATCTGGACGAATTAAGCTTGATAGAAACAACGTAAATAATTGTGAATGGGGTATATAGCTTTAAGTAGCGCTATTGCCAGTACTACATTCATTAAAAACTTATTAAGTGAATTAATTCCCAAGTCATCACTTCTTGCGCTTGTAAATGTAGATAATAAAGCTGTAGCTAACATTGTTAAAGGATCAGCCTTCTCAAAGGAGGTACGCCACGTTGGTATTGCTTATCACTTTGTCAAACTTTAAATGAAAAAACTATTATGTTGCTCATATAAGTTCGGAGCAAAATATTGCTGATATATTTACTAAACCACTTTAAATATAAATATTACAAACTGATCAATTAAATTTTTCAAAAAGGCTGAGAATTGTGTATATATAAATACAGGGTTATAATATAAAATTTCGACCAACCAATTATATTTTAAGGTTTGAAATTTACTCAATCGACATATTTTTTGAAACATAAGGAGGTCTTAGTGATTGCTTAAACTTAAAATTTTGCATTCTTATTTTTTGTTTAACTTTGTAAAGTAGATTGAGTAATAAACGGGGTAACATGTTTTCCCTCATTTACTGTCTCTTTTATTTGTCTTTTGTTTTTTAATGCTTGCCTTCTTACTATAGTTTATACCACGGGTGAGGGTGTACACCACTTGTTTCCACACAAATAACATGGGAACCTAGCCCCCTTTCTTAAAGCTTTTATACCACTCCTATTACGCTACTGATAAAGCTACAACAGGATAATTATATTCGTTCTATGTAAGGAAGCGGTACCTTAACATGATACTCTGCCCCTTTAAGGTGGACGTCCACTTTAGGCGTTGTGGGAAATCTAATATTCTAGAAGCATATTTCTAAAGTGTATACTGACTTTTAAATTTTTTTTAAAAAAATTAGAATTAAGCATATTTTTTATTAATTAGCGTTTATAACATGAGGGAATTTCAAGGGTATTTCACACGTTATTATATAAGCTTAGCTTGCGCCCCTGCTGCAATTTAACTTTTTCATCTTTCGTTGTACATTTGGGTTTGGAACTTTACTGGAAACAATATATTTTATATTATCTCTTTATAATTACTTACTGTTTCGAAGAATTACAGCCTGCAAAGTTAACATCAGTCAAAATTTATCAGATCCTGTTTTGAGGGAGACGTAACTTAAAAAAAAGACCAGAAAATATGAGCTGCATTAACGAAAAGCGAATCCACGACATTAATTTTACTTGTTTAAGCTATAACTACTGAATACGATTATAACTCATACTGATGGATTACGTACCTGTAACATTTCAATTTATTAATTACACAAAGTTTATTTAATAATTATTTCACTGGTCTCTCTGATGCTTAATTTATATCCTCTAGATGCATAAAAGAGGGAGTGTTTTACATCGTAAAAATAGTTTTCCATTTAGCATTAACAGGTTAATTATGCTATTTCAAATGCATTAAGCATATACGGCAGCAAGTCGGTCCTCTTCGGTAGGGTCGAATTTTCCAGGTCGACTAGAAGTTGCCAGTAAGGCTTATCAACTGTCATACACTTAGATATACAAATAATGCGTAATTAATACAATTATTTCGGTAATTTTATTATTAAAGTGCTTGTATGTAAGGTTTTTAGCAAAGTTATTTTGCTATCGAACAATTTGGAGGGTTTTCGGATTGACTTCAAGTTGTGTTTCGGTCGTTTACAACTTTTTTTTAAGAGGATTAATATTAAAGAGTTCTTAATTAAATCGTTGGAAGTCCCCTATTAAAAATAATTTTTTTTTATGAATGAAACTCTATAAACTTAACAAAACTTTGTTTAATTAGTCGCCATGTAAAAGGTTGGTTTCTGTTTAAGTCGCATAGACTAAAGTAATTACGTTATTAACTTTTTTATTGTTACAGTCTTATACATTGAAATCAGTCTTTAAACGATTGAGAGGAAAAAGCTGGAGGCGTATGGCAAAATAACGCATACTTTTACTGTAAAAAAATGTGTTTTATATTTTCTCGGCCAGAGTTTATTATAGCATAAAATTAAATATAAAAAAGATCGCCTCGGTTGGATGCGATTAATTTGTTGTAAGGGCTCACAGGTTTGACATTACCCTCATCCTTACGACAAATAAGTTGTTGAAAAGCCTTAAGATCTCACCATCCCTCTTTAACTTGGATCTCAGGTGAGCGAGGTGGTACAAGTCTCTCTAGTTTTAGTAATTTTATGAAACTTTTCTGCCTCTGGGAAGAAAACCCAAACACCATTTTCTTATAAGGAGAGCTGCGAGGCCTATTTAAACTGTAAAACGAAAATAACAGGAAAAAAGAGCGAAACTTCCAACTAAAAACTGCTAAGACACTTAGTAATTGTTGAACTATGCTAAGGGACAGAATAACCCCACACGACAGGTTCAAATACGTCGTAGTGTTCTCTGGTAACAGGTCTAGACACGTTAGAAAACTATATGTAAAGGTTAAAGCAGAAATAAACACCTTAATACTAGCAGGATCAACGAAACAAACTTATGTAAGACCAAACTTTACAGCAGTCATATTTACTGCCCTTATTTGGAAACTAGCACCGACAAAGGAAACGAATTCGTTAACGGTAGACTAGGCCAGTATCTTCAGGAAGGGGTTACACGACTATCCACAGTTCCAATGTCTACACCATATTTTAAGCAAAAGGGGCTCCCAGCTATCTCCGCTACGGCGCGCTGCTGTTTTTAAAAACAAGCAAAACTACATCTTAAATATTAGAGTGAAGTTCAATGTGGTGCAGTGTTTATCACTAACAACGTACCTAAGAAATAGGAACATTTTTCGCCTTTTATTAAACCCGAAGATACTAGCGACGAGATATTATAATTCTTAACATAAAAATAGGTTAAACATTGCAACTAGAGATATCAAATTTTTTTAAGGTATTCTCCGGTATGATTCTTATATGTAGGCACTACGCTTGATCTGTTACCCCACATTACACCCACCAAGGAAATATATCGCTTACCACACCTATACGTGAGAAAAGAGCTAAAATAAGTTATGATGAGAAACCAAGGAAGTTGCAACAGATTCTATAAATAGTGAGACTACTTCAGCCCAATTATCCACACTCAAAGTTAAACTAATTTTTTTTCTCCAGTACCTCAACATAAAGGAACTTTTGAAGATTCAAAAACGAGAGCTAACTCTACGAAAGAAATTTAGCTCTGCCGAAAGGAAGGCGTGTGCTACTGATCAACTACTTATTAGATTAGAAATAAACCAAAAAGAACAGGATTTTAAAACTACCAGTATATTATGGTTCAATTGTTTCAGGTAATACATCTTCAACTGCCTCGTTGGACTTCCAAGGAGTATTGGTTAAAGGTGCTGAGCTCCCCGACTGTGGCAAAATAATACCCTTTATTTCATTGAGTTAAAGTGTTTGAAAGAATATCTTGATCGCGCTTTTTAAAAAGGTTAAAATTCGCCTTGCTACCAGCCCCATGAATGTTGGTTGCTTCTTCGTTATGTAACTTAACAACGAACTGAGACTGCTTGTAGGCTACCGCGATCTCAACTCCGTAACAGTCAAAAATATATCTCCTCTCTCCCTGAAAGACCATCTAGTTTCTAAACTTTTCAAAGCGAAAAATTTTACGCGTCTTGATTCACCGGACGCTTACTATCTAAAAAGGATTAATGCAGGCGACGAGTGGAAAACGGCATTTCGTTGTCGATTAGGTCTCATTAAGTCCCCTTTGACCTAATTAATGCACCAACTATTTTACTTTTTTTTTGAAGGATATATTTGAAGGGACGACCTTAGTAACTTCAACCAATAATAGAGGAACACGACGCTCATCCCCATATTATTTTTTTGCCGCAAGTAGTATCGATTTTTTGGACTATATTATCTCTCAGGAGGAATTAAAATGAACTGCGGAAGTTGATGCTTTTTTAAATTGGCTGAGACATAGAACCGTGCCAGTTACAGCAATTTTTTAGGGTTTGCCGATTTTTATTTACAAGAAAATATTCTGGTTAGTAAAACCGCTGATTTAGCTATTAAGTAAAAATAACAAATTTACGGAGTAATGAAGAGGAGGTATTCGGCTACCTAGAAGAAAGCTGTTGTTCTAAATATTCGCCCGAATTTTCTATTATAATTGAGACTGTCGCCAGCGCCCATGCCTAAGATCACGTGCTAAGCCAACTACATGAAGAAGGCGTGCATCTAGTACAGTGTGTGTACCTCTGACATTCGTAGAGGAATTTAGAGGATGGCACCACTTTCCGTTGCCCTCTCAACAGCGTGAAAACTGGTACGAAACCGGAGGCTGCTTGCATAGCTGGTCTAAGGGACACTATAATTTTTTAAAATTAAAATCCAAACTAGACCGCCAACACAAAGTTTATGCGCTAACTTGTATAGCTACTGAAAAAAAAAACTAAAAAACACATAGAAGCCATCTTATTCCATTATAGTGGAGAAGTGTTTATGGACATGGGATGGAACTCTCAGCTCTATTTCAAGTTTTATATGATTCGGAATTTATAAAAGAACTAAAGGAGGTCAAGAGCAGTAAGCTTCCTGAAGCTTGTATAAAAAAGGCAAGTTACACCTTTGTATACTTTTCACTAAGGATTACTAAAAAGAGAACACAAGATATTTGCTCCTGGTCTGAAACTAGAGTTTATTATTTCCAAGCGACATAGTTTTTTTCAATAGGAGGGCACTACGGATTAAATAAGACTTAAGTTTTATTAAACGCAGTTTTTATTGGCCTAATATGAGGAAAGAAATTAATTCATTTATCGATTCGAGTGATGTCTACTAAGGAATTAAGCCAGCCCGTCATAAATCCTAAAGACTTCCCCAACCCTGCCTATAAAAGATTGAGAAGAACGAGTTTATTACAGACCTTTCAAAATCCGATAAATTGATAATATTATGGTTGTATATGTAGACCATTGAAGGTATGTCACTGGATGTACGTTCGAGATGGATTACATCTAAAGAAATGGCAAATAAATTCCTTACCACGTTATCAAACACCACGGGTTCCCAAAGTATATGAATACAAAAAGTGATAGATTTACCGAGTTAATTAATCGATTCCTTTAACAATACTTACAATACACCATTAAGTACCTGCAATCGGAGTAAGAGTATTTAATCCTCGCCGAATTTACTTACAACAACTCACTAAACGCCTCTACAAATATGACGAACCCAATTACTTTTAGTCACTCAACGCTTCCTTCTACTGACGTTCGGGTAAAACCTTAATAGACATAAATGAAAAACTTTGACCGAGACTTCAAAGATCTTTAAAGGACTACTGCTACTGTGCCAATAGGAAGTGGAAAGAAGTAGCCTTAAAAGTGTGTGTTTTGGTACTGTTATGTAGGAAGAACATGAAGACTATCAGACCCTCGGCAAAATTAAACTCGAGATACCTGGGCTTTTTTAGAATTATTAAGCAAATTTACCATGTAGCATATATGCTTGCACTACTCTCTTCGTAAAAATTCATGCTCTTCCATTTGAGCCCACTAAAGAAATAATTTTTTTTTGCAGATAACATAATAACGAGAAGAAGAAGACGTGACTTTACAATAAAATACCAGAAAGGTTGACAAGTTTTTAGATACCAGGTTCTTAAAAAACTTCCCTCAATACCTAGTGGAAGTGGAAATGGACGTACAGGAATGACGAACAAATTATATCCTAAATCTCAAAGAAACGAGTTGGAGAAAGTAACTGAGATGGAATTAAACTTTATAATAACACTTGACTGGGAACTCTTGAGTTTAATTTTCTATTAGAAACTTGCATAGAGCTGCTCCAGGATTGCGAATTAATACCCAGGTAAAATATCTTTTAAGAAAAAGAGAAACAACACTAGCCTCCAAGCCTGTTATAAAGTTGAAGGTTAAAACTTTGAAGATAAAAAAGCTACCTTTAAACCAGATAGCAACGAACATAAAACTAGAACGTAGGAAAGGAAAAAAATCGAAACACAGTTAAGAAGATCGCCGACAAGTAAAGGAGCTAAGATTTTGGGAACAACAGAACATAAAATACATAAAGATAGTGCTTTATTATAGAGAATATAGAAAAATTCGTTTCAAACGAGACGAAAACGTTTAGCTTATATATCTGCAAAAGAAGAAGAGAATATAACTAATTGCGTGCACATTACAACCATTAAGTTAATATTAAAACATAGGCACTCTAAATTGTTAATACGTTAAACATCATCCCGGGATCGAGAGCTATCGTCGTAGCTCAGCAGTTAAGGGCATTGACGCGTGAATTCAAGGTCGTGGATTTCATTTTCCACGGACGTGAAGCTCTCAAGGATGCCAGTGACGCGTAATATATCGATAATAGGTTGTAAAAAATTTACTGAAAAGCGGTGCTCTAAATATGCATCAATAGCATTCTGAAATGCTTTTCTCTATGTTAGAAACGAGTTACAGAAAAAAATTATTTAAAAGTCTTAAAGTGCCAATTTGCGTAGGTTGTATTAATCCGCGCACATTTCCTGTATTTTCCCATTCAAATCCTCAATTCGACCATTTCAAGCAGCGTATTTAAAGTCGGGTGGTGGTTCATTAAGACTGTGATCAGCAGGAGGGGGGAAAAGAGATATATAGATAGAAGTCACGCCTGTTCGCCTGGTGCCAGCTAAGTTACAATATTTCCGGTCCCTTAGGTTTAAAAAGCTTTCTGCAACAGCGTTAGCTTGAGTAAGTTTATTAGTTCGTACATATTGTAAAAGTGTCGAGTTGCATAGGCTACCACCCAAGAGAGCAAGTACCCTGCACGGAAATCTCTTGCTATTTCTCCTTCGCCATGTGATTGTCTTGCAGGTGGTTGTTGGTGGATGTTGTTTAGTAATGATTAACTGTTCTCCTGACTTAAGCGTCATAGAATTGCTGTGACACCCCATGGGATGGATCACGGCAGAGACCATTGTAAATACTGCCAGAAAGTGGTATGAATTACTTTTTAACTTTTTTATTTTTAAAGAATATTTAAACTTTATAACGTAATATTTAAAATTTTTCTTTTGTAAGTAATATACATATTATACAAGTAGACTGAGGTTGTAGAAGACCGAACTGGAGGTTGTTACGTGTGCTCGGAGTGCGGTTTTGAACTTGAGCCCTATTTAGATTATGTAAATAACTTTATTGAACGTAGTCTCTTCTATTACTGTGCTTATGTTACTTTATAATAGCACTCAGAATGGAGAACTTTTAGTGGAGATGTCGAACAAAAAGATAGGTCCCGAGGAGGGCAAATTACAGGTACGTTCGTTATTTTGTAGCGTTATAGAAGGCCCTTGCTTTATTATAAACCTACTAAAATAATTTTGGACCGCCTCTTTTATAATTTCCGCCTTAACCTTTAGTTTATATTTCTTACTTTCAACCTTATGCTAAAATCTTTATATAGTTATAAAATTAATATAAATTTTTTTAGATGACTATATTTCTGGAAAAGCCAATCTTTCTTTTGTTGTAGTTGCAAGTAACGATAAACACAAAGATTTGATTAGAACCCATAATCGTTCCTCCGTACTCTTTTTACTGTTCTTCAATACATTTATTAAGTATTTTATATTTTAAAACGTAATTTTTTGTTTTTTATAAGTTTTTTGTCTAATCTATAAAGCTCTACATCAATTACAACTTTATATAATTTAATTTTTTAGATAGTTGAATAAGTTTTTGCTTATAGACTATTATATAAAGTTCAATCGTTTAAATCGCACGTGTTCTGAACTTAAAATTTACTCTGCTTAGTTATTTCTAACGAATAAGATCAACTTAAAAGTTTTTGAGTGGATGTCGACCATTAAATTTATTTATTTGGGCTCGCCTAAGATGCCTTTGCTGTTCCGTAAACAGCGTTTAGTTGGGGGAAAGAACGCTTTGATTTTTTCGCGAGTCGTGCTTTTGCATATAATATTACTATTTCAAAGAATTATTTTTTTTCAGAATAGACTTTTAAGATCTGTAAGTTTTAAATTGTAAAGGTCAATAAGTAAGGAGTCTGCTGCTTTGTGTGTTTCTTTTATAAAGGTTTTAATTTATATTTGTTTGCTACATTAAGTTCTCAATTTATTTTTGAGATAGATTTTATATATAAACTTTTTAGACTTATATATTTATATTGGGCCTCTTTTTATATTGAAAAAAATTATATTTTGAGTCTATTGTATTTTTATTATCAAGATTCTGTAATCAATATATGTTTTTTATCAATTTATGTTCTTGACTGTTTAGTTTCGTTAATATTAAAAATTTAATTATTATTTTTTAGCAATTTACAGATAACGACCGCATCCTACTTAAAGGCGTGAGTGAAATAAATATTATTAGTGGCCGCATGAATTTAACGGCGCGCGTCGTGGTAGGCAAATTAATTATAAATTAAACTTTTTATTATTCATTTTATTTAAAGGAGAAAGCAAAGTCATATTTTAAAGCAGCGTCCGCACATGTTCAAAACCAAAAACTTCTTACAATCGCTGGTTAGAAATCATATTTGCGATTTCATTATCTCTTTAAGATTTTATATTTGCTCTATTATTATTTATTTTGTTTGCTTCTGTTTGTTTGAATTAAATATTTCTATTGAATTTATAATAAGCCAATGGAATAGCGTTTCATATGGAAGACAATATTTTTTCAGTACTTTTACTATCTTATTTATTTTTGAAGTTGTAATATTATATATATAAATTTTATTTCCGATATCCTTTTTATTACATAGAAGCCTTACTTTTTTATAATTATAAGTATTAAATATTTATTTATGTTTATTGCTGTCTTCCTTGTATTATTTTTTTTTATTTAATAAAGTTTAATGTTTAAAAACTTTGCTTATTGACTAATTGAAAATCGTTGTCATATTTATTTCCGCCTTTCAATATGTAATTGCTATTTTATTACAAAAAATATAATATTTAAGTTTTATTTATACATCAATTTTTAGTTTATTTTATAATTATGTTACTTAAAAAATATTATTTTACACATGTTTATGTTTACTTATTCTTTATTTAACTCATTTTTACTGTTATTTAGTTTATTTTTCTTCATTTTTATTGATATTATCCCTAAAAAAATTATTTGAATATAATTTAATTGAAACGGTTTCGTTAAAATCACTTTTTTGATTAAGTTCATATCTATTTTTCCTTGAATTTTTTATTTGAAATAGTAAAATATACAGTAAAATATACACTTTTATAATTCAAACTACTAATTTTTTTTTAATGAATGATTTATGATAATTCTTATAAAAAAGCTACTTAACGAGGCTCCCGCCTCTTGCAAGTCGTCGAGTAGCGCAGAAAATAATAGAGAACGGCTTTTTCTCCCTTTAGCATTTACTTTGTTTTATTTTTAAGCTTAAACGGTACTGAATTTAGTTAATTAAATAAACTTTGAAAATGATTTTTGTAACTTCTCTGCGACGCGCAAAACAGTTTAACTATGAACTTACGTGTAACTTACTTTGAACAGAAAGTTTTTTTAATATTTTATTATTAAACAAATATATTTGTAAGCTATTCCTAACAATGCTTAATCCTTTTTTATTATTGTTAAAAAAAAGTTACTCTGCAAGTGTCATACATACTAAATATTAATTACTTCAATGAATTTTTCATGTTGTATTTTCTGTATTATAATTATATGTATAATTTAAGAAGTTTATATAGTTGTAGTTAATCTAATACTTATTATTATTATATGCTATTACTTAATATTTTATGTGCTATTATTAAATACTCAAAGTAAATGAAATTTTAAAATAGTATTGAATATATATAAAAATTCTATGAAATATATAATTATTGTTTTTATTATATAATTACCTGTTAAGTTTTATATACTTTTAGAATTATTTGAATCTATTTAATAGCAATTTTTTAAAATAGATTTTTTTTTTATTTTTGAAGTTAAAAAAATTATTTTAGCTTTAGCAGCAGCAGCAGTACTTCAAGCTTGCCGAGATGATAACAAAGCATTTTCTTTGAAAGAAGTTCATAACTTATAGAAGAAATATATTATATTATAAATAAAAAGTTTAGGGAAATACATTTATCCAATTCCTTTAAGGTTTGCAGAATAGCGGGAGTGAGGGAAAAAGATATCGGCAAGAGCTTAAAGATCCTCAAAAGTTCGAAAAAGAAGAATGAAAAGACTGCGGTGGCAGCCTTAACTGTGGGAGACTATACGGTTATACTTTTACCAAATTAACTTTAACTAGGTAGCATCGGTTACTACCACCAACTTATTTGTGTAGTTAAGAGTATGTTGCTATCCTTTAATTTACGTCAGCTTTTTTTTAATTGGTAGTAGGAAGTTTCATTAAAACTCTTGAGTTTCACTGTTTTTTATCGTTTAATTTAATTTATTTTTATTTTTAATTATTAATCAAAGATTAAACTTCTCTACTCGGCTAAAAAATATTATAATATTGGCCAATCTACAAAGTAAACTTTTTTAGTTGGTTAAAATTTTTATTATGCTTCTTTATTGTACATAACTTTTATATTTAATAATTATATTTATATTATTAATATACATAATTTATTTTTTCTCCACAAGTAACTTAAGCATTTGTAAAGTATTTTTTAAAATTACTGTATAAGAGCTATTTTTAACTCAAAACTTTTACTTGTCTGCATAATTTTTTTAAATTTACTTGGCTTTATTTTCCATTTTTACTCTATTTCTTGATTACGTATTATTTTTTTAACTATTAAAACTCTAAGGCTAGATTTTGTTCAGAGTTGGATCTGTCGCAGCACACAAACCGTTTTGCTCAAGCTATAGCCGAACACGCAACTAAAAGAGGTTTTTCTTTATATTTTTACTGCAATTCGCCTGTTTAGTTATGGAGTTTTAATATTTACAGATTTTATTTTTTTTAATCGTAAACTTTATATATATTTTATAATATATCGAAAACGCGGTGTACGAAAAACTACAAGCATACACCATTCGGTTGTTGTTTTTTAGATTTATATGTTTATTCTAATGTATCGTTACATTTATAGAGTTGTGGCTACTGGAATTCTTGTGTATAACTTTTTATATCACTGTGTTATTATAGTATATATAACTAAAATTCTTTTGAGCGGTCTATTTTATGATTATTCGTTACTTTTAACTCACTGATTACTTTTTATTTTCTTTAAGGATATTGTGGAGGAAAAGCGCCAACATCTATCGTCGCCGCCGCGATTTATTTTGCATCTCAGTTGAGCGCTACGCCAAAAACGCAGAAAGGTTTTATTATTTTGACCAATTTAGTATATGCCAATTATATATTTTTTTGTTTTATTAGAAATTGCTGCTGTTGTTGGAGTTTCTGAGCCCACTATAAAACTTGCTTTTAAGCCACTTTACGAAAATAGGTTTAAATATATTATTATTGTTGTTGTTATTATTGTTGTTATTTAATATTACATAACTGCAGACACGATTTTCCTTGCCAAGAATTTTTACAAGGACAAGACATCGATCAGTTGCCTTGTATCTAATAGTATTTCCTTGCGGAACTAAAAAGAATAATTAAATAGTTTGGGTATATATTAGTGAGTTAGAAATTTTATTCAAGAAACTTGTGCTGCTTACGTTATTATTCTTATTTATTGCCGCACTTTCTTTTTAAGGTTTGTTAGTCTCGTACCTAGTTTCTTTATAAACAGTTCTAAGTCTCTAAAAAAAACAAGAGATTTAACCCTGAAACTTTTTTTAAGTTTTCACAACAACTTCTTTATACATACTAAATGGTTTTTTTATTTCAAATTTAATAGTTTTTCGGTAGATAAAGAAAGGAGCATTAACCTTTTTTCAAGACATATAATTGTGAGGAGGTCATAGTAGTATCAAAATAGTACTTACAAGCTATAAATTCTTTTCAACTAGTACCATTGGGAGTAGTGTTTCTTTTAATGGGTTATTTTTAAAACTTTATTTCGGGCTTAATCTCAACACTAAAATTTTTAATTATATTCAATCAATAATCATCGTCTTCGTTACATGCGCAAGTACCGCATCTGTGTGCTACTTTTAAAACCTTTGAAGGGGGCCTTAGAAATAAACAAGTTCACCTTTTAAATTTTCCATAAAAATAATGTTTGCACTGAGCTCTGTTTTTACAAAAAATTATAAAGTAGATTTACGCACATTATCAATTTAATAATAACAAAAGACCTTTATTCTGTGTTTACACTAAACCGCGCTGTTTAAGATTATAACTAAGTGTTTTATCGTGTCTAGAAGCGCGCCCGGTGGGATTTAAACATGCTATTAATTTCTTAAAGCAGAGTGAACAGCCACTGAAAGTTTATTAGATATCATCAGTAGAGAGATGGTTTCTCACTGCTTTTGCGCTTTACTAATTTTCAAAGTTAAACTCTAAATTTTTCTAATTACTTTGAGTATTAACTTAAACGTTTTAATAAATGCTTTTAACGTTTATTAAAGATTTAATGAGGCGCCCAAACTTTTTTACAGATAAAGGTTGTAAGTAGAAAATGCCGATTAGTTAAACATTTCGTTCAAAAAAAGTGCATTTAAAATATGAGGAGCAGAAAGTAAATTCCACCCTTGCAAGTTACGTAATAAAAGTTTTGAAGTTATTTTTAGAATTTCAAGCCTTGTTAAGTGATAACTTGCTCGCTTTAGTACATTCTTTTACTTTCAAGTACCTTGCTTCAAAAGTTTGATTATGTGTTGCTGCCCTAAACTCACTAGATAAAAGTTGTATGAGGTTATCAGCCCGTTTCTTTAGCACAGCTAACCTTTTTTAATTGGCCAGCTAATACAAAACAAGGGCTTGTTCAGAGTTGAAAATAGTTTCCTCGCATATTGCCGGGCTTACAGACATAGCGTTCTGGTTTGTGAGGCAGTTACCTATGCGCTTAGAGATTAAAAGTTTATCATCTTATCGCTCGGAAAGAGTGAAAAGTGTAGAATTCCATCCTAAAGAACCATGGTTGCTTTGTAGCCTCTATAATGGTTCAGTCCATATATGGAATTGCGAGAGTCAATCGTTAGTTGTTACTTTCGAAGTATGCTTGGCGCCAGGTTAAAAAAAGATTTATATTGTAGTATTATAAATTAAAAAACTTTTTTTTATAATTTTTTAATATTATAAATCTTATATTTAAGATTAAAACCATTACTTTAAGTACGTTGTGCTAGATTTATTGCAAGAAAAAATTGGGTCGTGACAGGAACTGATGACGCTATGATTAGGGTTTTTAACTATCATAATAAAGAAAAAGTTGTCTCGTTGGAGGCACACTCGGATTACGTACGTGCGATTAGTGTCCATCCGACTCACCCATATATACTCAGTTCCAGTGATGATTACACTATTCGTATGTTTGACTGGGAGAATAACTGGAAAGTTAGACAGGTCTTTTTTACAAAAGATATATACACATCTTCAACTCTGTTATATATACTTATAAAGCCCCAAATTGGTGGCAAAGTTATGAAGATTGACTATTTTTTTAAGATCTTCAATATGTTTAAAATGACTTCGCTTAATATTATTTTGTTTTTATCACGGTATTTGCCCCTGTTGTTTTTAACTTTGTGGTTACAAGTTATTATAAAATCCTCTGTAAATTTTGTACCCTACAATCTTACTAATATCTCATTCACTTTATTATTAGCAGACAAATTTACGTATTACTTTATATAAAAAGGATTATAACCTTTATATCATTTATTGCTCCATTTAATTTACTACCGAATTGATTACCACCGCATAGATTTTTGAAGGGCATTCTCATTTTGTAATGTCGGTAGTTTTCAGTCCCAGCGACTCCAATACATTTGCCAGCGCTGCTCTGGATAATACTATACGTGTATAGCTTCCATCTTATTTATTAACAAATAAGTTTATGTTATAATTTCATATTTATTGACTTTATTTCTTTTAAGTTTTGGCAACTTGGTTCTGCAGTACCAAATTTCACTCTTGAAGGGCACCGTGGCGGTGTTAACTGTATTGGATTCTATCAAGGACCAGAGAAGCCCTATCTAGTGTCTGGCGCTGACGACCGGTTTCTTAATCTCGCTTTTTTGTTTTGTTTATAATTATAAGTTTGCTTGTAACAAAGTGCCAGTAAAAGATAGTAGAACGTATTTTTATTGACCTTCACTTTCAATTAGAGAAATGTGCTTTTTTAGTTTGTTTTAAAACTTCTTTAGAAAACAAAATTATAGTTTTTTAGTTTGAATAATTTTTTTTTACAGAATTATAATATAATTACTAATAATACATAGCTCAAATTTTTTTTTTTTAGTATTTAATAATTTCTAAAACTTGTTATTTGTTATTTTAGGTAATAAACTTATTTTGATTATTTTTTATATTATTATAGATTGTTTTTATTTTATTTTTTATTTCTTTACTTTAATCCTTATATATACTCTTATCTGTCAAAGAGTTGATCAACTTTTTCTTTTTTAAAATGGATTCTTTAAATCTTACAACCTTTTGCTCGTCGTAACTTGTGTGTTACTGTTTTCAGTTGAGAAAAGCTGTCATTATGATTTAAATAATAATCTACATTTATTAGTTTTCTTAATAGATTTCGAAGTTATTCTCGGACTAAAATTACTTTGTTTTTGTACTTACTGTTTTAAAAATCAGCTCTTTTTTTTATATAAAATTATAGTTAACTAAATAAGTTGATGACATAAACTTTTCAAAATAAGTTTTGATCCTATAATTTTTTTTAATTAGAAAATCATATTTTAAGCAATTTATAATTTATTATGAATATAACATTATAAATAACATTTATGTACTTAATCCTTAACACTTTTAGATCACGCTAAAAATAAATAAATTTTTTATGTTAATTCTTTACTGTCCAATTTGTTTATATGTATTTATATAAACAGTACTGTCAAAGTTTGGGACTACCAAACCAAAACCTGTCTTCAGACGCTCATTGGCCATTCAGACAACGTGACTGCCATTTGCTTTCATCCGACTCTACCAATCATCTTGTCCGGTTCAGAAGATGGTTACCTGCAAGAATTACGAACTTTTATTTAAATATAAATAGTACTCAATAGTTTTTTTGACTAGAGTGTGTCCCACTATATCTGTTTAAAATTTTTTCTGATAGTAATATTATCTATATTTTGCTTCTTACAAAAGTTTTTTTAATTATTTTTCTTATTAGTAAACGCTATTCATTATTATAACTTTTTTTTAAATATATATGTTTACATTGAAAACAATACATATTATGTTATTTCGCTAATCATAATATTATATGATATAAAAATATGAATTTTTGATGAAGCATTTGTATTTTAGTAATTTTATAGTTACTAAATAACTCTTTAACTAAATTTTATTTATAGCATAGATAATATATATCTTTTTATAAGAATTTTTGTTTAGTAAATAATTAATATAAATTTTTATATATTTTTTTATAACAAAAAATATGTAGAGTTTTTTATAAAGGATAATTTATATAATTTTTAGTAAATTAATATATATATATATATATTGTTTTCTATAAATGCAATAAATTGTTACGTAAATATTAATGGCAAGTAAAATTTTCATCTTTACATTAATAACTGTACAGGCTTAATATATCACTAATATAATAACTTATTGTTATCCTTTTTGGTAACAATATTACTTTTTGAATTAGTTTATATTATTTACTACCAAAAATTTTTCATAGCGCGAAATGTATGCAAACTTTTAATCTTGTACTAAAGAACCTTTTATGAGAATCCTTTGATTCTTTTGAAGACAAAAAGTAGTATTGTTTAGTTCTAATAAAAAAATTTTATTATTTTATATATTCAACTTCGATAATAACAATTTTTACGCCGAAGAATATTGTTTTATTTTTTTTATAAAAATATATTATTATGTACTTATGTTTTTTTTTTAATAGTGTAGTGATACTATAATCTTAAAATGATAACCAAGCTTTTTTAAATCTTCCTGCGCTCGTGTGCTCCACTCCTGCGTTATCCCCACTGCTAGCTTTAAGAGAAAACTTTATAGTTTTTTTATTGGAGCGTAGATGCAGCCATCCAATATTATATTAACATTAAAAAAAATTGCTTTGATTGGGTCGACAAAACACTGCTCTGTAGACGCGCTTTTGTGTCCTTTACACTCATGTGCGCTTCTTAAGGCTTTAATTCAGAGGCCGTTAGTAGTAACTTAGTTTTATTCTTCAATTGATATTATCGTTTTTCTGTTTCATATAAATACATGATGTATAACTAGTTTTTGTTTTAAAAGAAAAATAGTTTGGCTCGTTAAAAAATCTTTACTTACCAGGCACCATAAGAATATGGCACTCGAGTACTTACCGCTTGGAAAACACCCTTAATTACGGGCTTGGCCGCGTCTGGGCGCTTGCCTTATTAACCAGTGCTAATCACGTGGCCGCAGGATGCGAGCACGGAAGTATTGTCATTAAAGTTTGTAAATTTTTTTAACTTATATATTTACTGAAAACGTTGAATCGATAATAATTTGTACGGCTCATTCCAAATCTGTTTCATACAAATAATTTTATTTTTTCTATTTATATTCATTTCATTATTTTGCTACTTATTTTCTATGTGTCCTCTACATACTATTTTTTAATATAAACTCAATTTTAAAATTAAAGTAAATAACAATTGTTATAATGTAAGCATACTTTTATACATTATATTTTTTGAGTGTTTCGCTTGACTCGATTTGTTTTTGATAAAATGTTCGTTAAAGTATATTATTTTTTATAATTATAGTATAAATTATTTATTTTTCATATCAACTCTAAGTTCCCCTCACATCATGTATAGCTCGGAGACGAGGATCCGCCAATGAGCATGGATTGCATGGGCAAACTCGTGTGGGCTAAACATAATGAAATCCAACAGACCAATGTGAAGACCGCAATGGGTACCCTTGAATATTTATTCTTTCGCTTTTTATTCATTATTTGTAGTAGTATTTTGATTTTTACTTTATAATAATATTTTATTTTTATATTATAAGAGTTTGTTAAAAATATTTTACAATAAAAAGAAGTAATATATAATGTTTACAAAAAGTTTGCTTTTTCATGTGAGTAAGAGTGCAAAAAAATTCACAATTAGCGATTAATTTTGTATAATTACCCAATAAGAACATTAGGTGAACCAAACGGGTCAATAAATTCTTATGATTTAAAAATTTTTTCAAGATCGCTTGATATGCTCTATATATTTTCTTTATTCTTTCTTTTTCTATTTTTTTGTTCAAACTTATAGCGAGGAAGAAACATTTTATATACTTTTTGTTGCAGAAATTCTTTTAAGAAGACTCTGCTTGACTTGTTGAAATACTTATCATATATATATTTATCTTATATTTGTTATAATAATAAAAATTTTATGGAAAACTGATTTTTTTAAAGATGTGAAATTTTGTAAATAAAATGGATTGTAGTGCTTCATTATACATATAAATATTGTTTTATGTATTTTATTACTTGTTTATAGGGTTGTCTTTTCTATGGTATAAAAAAATTATTAATAATTATCTTCTCGTAAACCTTTATTTTAGCTCTCTATGTTGTACAAGGTTGGGAAAGCGCATTTAAATTTACTTTACACATCTATTTCATTAATATTAAGATGGCGAAGTTGTGGATGGCGAGCCGCTGGTTTTGGCGACTAAAGATTTGGGAAGCTGTGAAATCTATCCAAACGTTTTGCAGCACAGCCCTAACGGAAGGTAAAAAGTTGGCCCGGTGTTTTATTATTGTTTTAATTGTAATTTCAGATTCATTGTTGTGTGCGGCGACGGAGAATATATAATATATACTGCATTGGCCTGGAGAAATAAAAGCTACGGCTCCTCCTTGGAATTTGTTTGGGCTGTCGAGTCCGGCTAGTCCGTGTTTTTTAAATATATTTTATTACATATATTATTTTTTAATAGTTTCGCAATACGTGAGAGCTCTACACGTGTCACGATATATAAAAACTTTAAAGAAAAGCGTGCTGTTCCGTTAGACTTTAGTGCGGAAGGTAAACGTGTATTATTGCATGTTACTATTGGTCGAGAGTCGCGTGATATCTTTTTTTCCAGGTCTCTTCGGCGGGCGACTTCTTGGAGTTCGTTCTTCCGATTCGCTGGCTTTCTATGACTGGGACATTGCGAGTTTGGTCGCCAGGATAGAAATTACCCCCAAATTAATTATATGGGCGCCCAGCGGGGACCTTGTGGTCATAGCAGCTGCTGAGAAGTTCTTTGTGCTCGAATACTACCATGAGGTCGTAACTGCCCACGTGGAGCAAGGTTTACCCATTCCTGAGGAAGGGATCCTCGAAGCGTTTCAAGTGATTGGAGAGTTGACCTCGGGCGTCCAAAGCGGTGTCTTCCTTGCCGCCAGCATATAAGTATCATACTTTTTTTGATACTGCAATCCGGTGCAGGCGTTTGGGCGGGGGACTGTTTTGTTTACGTCGATGCCAAGCAGTGCCTCAACTATTTTGTTGGCAGGAATGACAAGTGCGAGTTGGTAACTGTGCAGCATCTTCCGAAGCCAATGCGCTTGTTGGGTTTTTTTTTCTAAACTCCGGAAGCGTCTCTTTTAGCCTTACACTTTTGCCGGCTGCTTGCAAGGGTACCTCCCGAAGGAGAGCCGCCTTTACTTGGCCGACAAGGACTTTGCTGTTGTAAGGTTCTCCATGCCTCCTGGCAGTTTATAAAATAACCATTAAACGTGGCTTCGTATCGATAGCTACCATCTGGACATTGTGGTTATGGAGTATCAGACGCGTGTTCTGCGAGGAGAGATAGACAGCGCAACCGAGCTATTACCGAAGATACACGAGGATCAGCGCTTGAAAATCGCCCACTTTCTAGAGAAACAGGGTCTTCGCTTGCATAGAGCGTAGAAGCCAGCGAGACTTCTGACAATCACGTGGTTGCAGGATACCTTCAACAGGCATTTCAGCTGACCGGAGATCCGGACCATCAGTTTTCTCTGGCGCTCTCGTTAAATAATCTGGACGCTGCACTAGATATAGCGCGAAGACAGGCACCTTTTCTGTCTCTCTTTCAGGTGGCGGCCGCCCTAAATTTGCTTATCAGGATAAAGAAGCACAGTGGAGAAAATTAGGCGACGCTGCCATGCGCCTTTGGAACTTCGATGTAGGCGTGGGGTCTGCCACCCACGTGTTTCTTGTCCAATCCCATATTCCACAGGTTGCCAAAGACTGTCTGCAGAAGGCTGGGGATTACAGTGGTTTGCTCCTTCTTTATTCCGCCGCTGGAGATGCCCGAGGAATTGCTCAGTTGGCCCAAACCGCACGCGACACCTCAAAAAACAACGTAGCCTTCATATGTTATTTTTTACTCCAACGGCTGGATGACTGCCTGCAGCTTTTGTTGGACACTGGTTCGTTCTATTATGCTCTTTTGTATTATGCCAACGATAATTTCTATCATAGACAGGATCCCGGAAGCCGCCCTTTTTGCGCGTTCCTACGCACCCAGTAAGGTTTCTGATATTACAAGGCTTTGGAGGGAGCGCCTTCAAGCGGGAAATTCGGTGGCTGCCTGACCCTCATTCCCTACATTTTATTTTTAACACGTGGTTTTACCGTAAAGAAAACAGCTTATTTAATTGCCGACCCGAAGGAATACAGTAACCTGTTCCCTGATTGGAGCTGGGCGCTGGAAGTACTCGTGTATATCGCTGCCGCGCGCTACCCACCAATCCTGCATATCAGGCTGAACAACGCCTTCGAGCTGAAGGGGGCGCGTGGTCAGTCCCAGCAAACTTGTACGAGAAATTTTGCCAAAATCCCTTGCGAGATCTTGTCGCGGTGCTGAAGGCGGAACAAAGTACTTTTATGGCTTCATGTTTCCATAGACCTTCTGTTAATTTTGTCTCCACTCCAGTAAGCACGAGAATTAGTAAATAGTCAAATTTGAGTACGAGTTTCTTTTTAATGCCTAATCATTATAGAAAACGAGAATGTTTAAATATTCACTTTATTACATCCTCATAAATAAAAGGCGCCAGGAGTCTCGCAGAAACCTTAGAATCTTCAGGGGACCAGAAGAGCCCAGAAGGCCACGTGCATTATACGGTAAATCGTTCCATGACTCAAGTTTACTTAATATGAAGAAATACATAAACACAACAGGAATAGTTTCTTTAACAACGTGGGGAAAAAGCATTATACTCGAATCCATAATAAACTTTATTAACTCCTATAATGGTTAAATTTCTTTATATATGATGTTTTAGGAGCTCAGTTAAAATTAAAGTGTTGGTTGCTAAAAATAACAATCCACTGAGCCATATATAGATAAACGTGTTCATTCCTTGAAATTCAAGGAGATACGCCGAGGTGAGCCAGAGTCCCTGCAGCATGTTTTTTAATAAACGGTCAGGAAACAGAATAGCTGGCCTCTAAAAAGGAGGACCTGCGCTACAAACCATAGGCAGCTTAGAAGTAACATTTCTTTTAATGACATGCCCGTGTTCGCAGGAGTAACTACATGAGGAAGAAGACCTGAATATATTATTAAAGACGGTCAGAAGAAGTAACAATGAAAAAGTCTGTTTATAGGGCTTAACAATATAATAAGCAATTATATACAATTATCCTTATTAAGCTTATATAGACAATACGGCAACCCCTAGAGTTTTATTAGTTCATACCTTTATACTAATCATCTAAATATACTTTATTTTATTGCGAACTTATTAAATGTTTAAAAGAAATTTTAAAAAAATAACTTTAATATAAAAATAAGGAAACAACCTAAAAACCATAAAAAGTACTGCGAGGTACACACTTTGTTAAACATCACGAAAGCAAATGTCTGTACAAAGAAGCAAAAAGGAAGGTCGTCGTAATAACGAAGCCCGAGAAGCCCCACAACTACAGCCTGATGAGTGGATAATAAGAGCAAATAAAAATAGAATGATAAGGATCAATATATGAGGCGGAATAATCTACCCAAAAAAATAATTATTTCGGTATTTATTTATTATGGTTTTGGCTGAAAAACAGTGCAACTTTATAAGCTTTAAGAATACCCGTGAGTAGTTATTTTGAAAACTATTAAGACAAAATGGTTTAACAACTTTTGGTATCAAAAAGCCAGCGCAGTAGCAGCCAGATGCATGAATGAAAAAATAACGAAAAAGTCTCAATTTCTATAAAATTTCTAAATTGGAAGCGACAAAGTATACTGCACCATTGGATAGAGAACCAGTTAAACACCCAAAAAAGGATTAACTGATTCCAATAAGAAGCAAGTGCTAAAAGAACAAAAGAAAAATGGAGGACACACAAAAATAAGTAAATTGGAGGTTTGAGGTTAAAAAGAGTCAAATAAATATCCGAGCCGATCAGTACAGCAATCTAAATTTAAATTTCTTTTGTTAAAAAAGATGACTTTCCTGAGGAACGAAGCTGAGCAGCTCATAAAAGTTATTTTTTTCGTAGGTGAGATATAACATATAAAAGTAGGGAGAAAAGTTATGCCGAAAGTCTTTGCGGGTCACGTGGTAAAGGTAAGTATTTTCCAAAGACTCCATGCCGTATCTAAAATAAACTTTTATTGTATAAAAAATTTATTATCAGAACTGTAAGCTAAACGGGTTAAAAAAATTGTCTGACAGGAGAAAAACAAATGCAAGCATAATAATTGGTATTGTTACCTATAATAAAACTACGGAAAAACAGAAGGTTTCTTTAAAAGAATATTGATGGTAAAAAAATTAAAAAGAAAAAATTATAGAAATTCCTTGGTAAAAATAAATTATATTTTTATATAGAAATTTAAAAATATTAACCAAAAAGTAATATTCAAAACTAAGATGAAAAGTATTAATTGATGCTATTAAAACTTTAGTTAGTAACTAAGAAGTTTATAGGCTTCCACGATAGTAAAGATATAAAGCCTCTAAGTATTGAGAGATAAACTGTTTGTAAATCTGATTTGTATATATAAATAAAAATATACATAAAAAATATTAACCTTTTTTATTTAAAATAAGGGAAATTACACGCAACGTTTATCATTAATAAAAAAAAGAATTGCAACTGAATATAAAACGTTTAATATCGAAAAACATAAAAAGTAAATTTTATAAAAAGGTATAAAAATTAAAAGAGTATAAGTGTAGATTCCAGTAAAATAAATATAAACTTTAAGACTGTTAAAATGTTAAAGAGTAGAAAGAAGAATTAAATTAATTTATACAAAAGTGTAACAGAAAATAATTAATAAACTTTAAGTATATAATAATGTATAAAGTTATTATTTCCAAGCATCAGAAATCATATAACTTAACGAAATCTTTTTAATTTAATTACATAAATATAATTTTAAAGAAAAGCAATTAGAATTTGTTAAAAATACCATAACTTTTTGTTTAAATATTAGTATTTTCGTAATCGAGGCAAAAAAATAATGTAAAACATTAAAGTTTTTTATTATCCAAATTTTAAAAGGAATTATTTTTTTAGCAATCGACAAAAAATGAACATTAATATTATGAATAACATTTATTTTATAAACAACCAAAAGTAAAAAGCGGAATATTAGTAAAACTATATAACTTACTATAACAAAAGTTAGTATGGCTAAAACTAAAACACTAAAATAAATTTTTTTTAATAATAAATAAAGATATAAATATAAATGAGTTATATATAACGAAATAAAAGTGAACCAAAAAGCTTAAATACATTCTGTAAAACAAGTAATAAAACAAATTAGCTTTCCAAGTGAATAAGATAGGGTTGGATACATAAAGTAGATGCCCTTCCAAACTTTATATAATCATACTTACAAACAGTAAAATTACTTAATAAGTGACTTTTCAAATAATATTAATTTTAAACATAAATCTATTTTTCATAAATAAGGGAGTTTATAATAAGAGGATACTTTAACGCTACAAAAGTTTATATACAGATAAAAAGATAATCTATAAAGAGAGATCAAAGCCTAAAAACCTCGAATACATCCAAAAAGTTAAAGAGAACAGAAGCAATATAAAGGAAATCCCAAATTTAATTTGATTTTTGTTAATAAAAAAGACACTTATGAGTTTACGAGTAAAAGATTTTTCTCTTCGGAATACCTAAAGAATTTAAATGAAAGGAACTTTAATAAAAATAGTTATAGTCTTAATAACTCAAGTAAAAACTCGCATGTATAGTAGTAAATATATATTACTAATAATTTAAAAAATAAATGCTCATAAATATTCTAAAACTAAAAAAAGAATCATATATGAAAAAATAGTTCTTTAACGTCTGACTTACATGAATAGAGAAAAAAATTTGTATATGTTACCAATTTTACTATAATTACCATATGAACTATACTAAGCTTAATAAATAGTTATAAACAATTTAAACTATTAATAAGAAACACTAAATTTTATCGTATAGAAATAATTACTGGATTTATTAAGGAAAGCCAGAGGGGTAGAGAATATATAATTGGATACAACTTAAGATGAACAGCAAAAGAGTAGAAAATTCCTGACAAAACATAAAGCCTTTTCAAGTGAAATAATAAAGTGCAAACAACGAAAAGTAAGATGATAGATTCTGCATTTCCTCGTGTGGAAACAGTAAAGACGAGAGGATTGAAAAGTAAAGCGCTGATTAAAAAAAATTTGTTTTTCAAAAAGGAATATAAAAAAATACTGTTTAACCAAGAGCAATTTCTCGCTAGTGCTTTGGAATGACCAGTTTCAAGAAGCGTTAGGTAAAGTAAAATGCAAAGGAGTACATCAGCACCAGAGAAGATCTCAAAGGAAAATTAAAAACTATATTTAAGAATAACTAGTAAAATACAAAAAGAACTTATAGTTATAAGGGAACTTACTAATTTACCAAAAGCTGGATGAAATATGTTAACTTGTAGAGCTAGAGCCAAAAGTGGAGTATAACGGTAAGTCGCTCTTAAGTAAGGTGATTTATTCTATATGTATAAAATGGGCTTAGCAAACTATAGTTTTGACTCTAACAAAAAATTAAAACCTCGTAAACATATTTAGCAGCATCTGTAAACACAATATAGTCCACATCAGTATACTTTGCCGAGGAGATTGAATCAAACCAAATGGAAAAGTAAATGAGAACGCATCGTAACAAAAAGGCTAGGAGACACAAGGTGGGAAGGGACCATATCCGCATATTAGTTTAGTTACAGAGTAACAAAGATGATTTCGGACGCTACGTCGCATAACTATAAATAAGTCAATATATAGAGCTTTAAATAAGTCTACCCCGTAAAAATTGTGCTTCAGCGTTGTAACAAGGCGGAATAATGTACGAGCCCGGTCCCCGTTCAAATTTACTATCCCTACCTGCACCTCCTTTTAATAGGCTTTTAGAGCTAAAACTGTAACACTGTGAAACTTATTTATAAGTACTAAAATTCAATTTGCGAATATTGACAATTAACTTAAACTCAGCAATAAACGAGTAAGGTGTATAACGTCAATTTTATTGATATATATATAATATTTATAATAAAAAGTTCAAATTTTTTATTAAACGTATATAAACCTTAACAGACAGTTGACTCTAATACAGACAATTATTTTATTGAAACTTTTTAAAAAAGTGTCTTAGCTATTCCTAAGCAGTGATTACTCGCTGTTATTGTATACTTTAGCTTTGTGCAGTAACGTTTAAACTTAAAGTCAATAAAGTTATATTTTCTTGGCGTAAAGAATCCTGGAAACGTTATTCAAGTGAAGAATATTTTTACTATTACAAAAGAAGTTTAGTAAATATCTGCTAAATCTTTATTTTGAAAAGGGGAACGTGAAGAAATGTAATGGCTCGTTACCCGTTAAGTTTAAAATAGTGCTCTTGCAACAACTCTATATTTTTTACTCTAACTTTGTACAAAAGGTATATATGACGGAGGGGAGTAAGTTAAAGATTAACTCAACTAATGCAAAGGTAAGTTATCAATTCTTTTAAAAACATTATTTTGGCATCTTTATCGTAATTTAGACGGAGAAACAATAGTTTTTATTATCTTCTACCAAACTTCCCGCCATATACTTAGATATATAGCAAACATTACTTATACTTAAATAGCGGCCGAGCTCCCAGTTTAGAACCTGGAGAATAGTCTGTGTTGTAACTAAATTATTAGTCCTTTCAATCAACAGCAGGGCCCTACGAGAAGTTTTACTAGCCACAAAGTACACTTAGAATTAGTGTTTTCTAATGTATTATATAGTATCACTCACTAAAGCTAGCCTCATAGTTTTCAACACACCCAAGGGTTTTCGTAACATCTTTTAAAAGAGGTAGTACTTACCAGTGTTTCAAGAGAGTTCGTAGCACACAAAGTTCACAAGTCCAAGTTCTACGCTGGGCTAAAAGGTTAGTCGCAATAGTGCTGGTGTATCAGCAACTGTACATAATGTAGAGCACAGACTTGACTACAACCAAGCTAAGTGTAACCGGAAGCGTTAAGCTCAACTTGCATATTATAAAAACTTGAACAAATTAGAAGCTCAAAAAAAGGAAAACGACAGTTTGAAGGTATATATTAATTTACAAATAAAAAAATTTAAACTTATTTATTTATTCCTCTGGCATACTACAATCAACACCATTCAAAAGGAACTCATATTTTCACTGTGGTCAGAAGCTCAAAAATTTATTTACTCTACTAAGTAAAAAATTTGGTCACTCTTTTATTTAAGTGTAGAATATAACCTGGTTAAATTTAATTAGTTACGCAATTATAAAAAATAATATTTGACCTTTTGTAAGGGAGAACAGACAAGATGTGGGCAATAAAAAGACTTGGTGGTGCTTCGCTTTTTTTTCACTTACTCCAACAACACAAATTTAATAAATTAAATACTTCCTTTAGTTGAAAGCTTTCTAAATCCCTTATAATCCTTTATAATGTTAGGGGAAAGTTTTTGGTTATGTGAACTTTAGTCAAACCAGATGCCCCTATGTTGCTCTCACCTACTCAAACTGTTTTATTTAAAATTCTGTTGTACAATCTCGCAGTTGCCTATAATAATCTCTTGGCAACTGTCCTACTCTTTCTTCCGAGTTTTTACATAAATTCGAGGAAGTTAGTAGTTATAAATATTTTTGTAGTTTAGCAAGTTGTAATATTATATTATGTCAATTACTTTGCTGCTACCATATTTTGCCCTAAAGCAATTAATAACAACTTTAGCCCATAGCCCAGAAATTTATTGTCGCGAAGAACTTTTTATTTTTCCTACGTTCATATCAAAACCACTATAATAGTTTAGACTTTCAACTATTAGTAGATATAGGATTGAAAACTACTTAGGAAAAGTAAAAAAACCATGAGTCCCCTTTATTGCACCTGGAGGATTTCGTAATTGATAGAGTAGTTACAGATTTTCTACTACCCCATAAAAAAATTTAAAAAGATTGTAATCAGTTTTATTATAAGTAAAATTTGTTATAGTTCATCTTTACGTTGGTAATCCTTACCATCCCAAGGTGCTACAGAGTTAATTTTTAAAAGTTTAGGGTCAAAATTGGAAGCTTCTGACATCCCTATTAAAAGATGTTGACAATAATCGCGTAAATGTTCGGTATCAAAAGCACGTGTATATCTAGTGTATTTTAATTTTTTCAAGCTCAAAGCCACCATGGTAGGCAACATCACTCCATCAAGATGGAGGGACTGTTCTAAAGAGCTTTGCTTGCCAACTTCTGTCCATAAAAATCTAAAAGGCTTTCCTCTCATCTCTTCGTTTACCTGCTTCATGGCATCGAGATAGCGATTCCTTCCTTTAGCTTCGGTAAATGAAATATGAGGGAGGATCGCTATCAGACAGATAACTTGTTTTTCTGGGTTGCAGTATTCCATAAAAATGGCTTCAGAAATCAGTTCAGTCACCTCAGCAGCTGTTCCAGTAGACGCTTCTAAAGAAAGTGCAGCCTCCACAAGCGAGTCAGCATCTCTTCCGCTGGTGTATGGGTTAGGGGATTTTGTTTTATCAGCGCCAAAAATTAAAATGGTCGGATAGCCACGTATATCATATTTAGTGGCAAGCTTAGAATTAACAGTCGCATCCACAGCGGCAAACCGAACTTTAGAATTCTTCTCATGCAACCTCTTAGCAGCGAGTTCATAGTGGGGTGCTAATTGTTTACAATGTCCGCACCAAGGAGCATCTAGTGATTGGTAAATTAACATAATATAAATTGACTAACAAAAAGATTTACAAAACTCCACAAAGATTATTTTTTTGCTTTTTAGTACGCGACCGTCGAAGTTACTATCTGATAACTCCACTACATGCTTAGCGCTTCCACCAGAGGACTTGCCTTTTCCCAGCCTAGAACGTGCAATCTCTCCGATTTCCCTCAAAGAAAAATCAACAATATTATCAGCAGTGGGTGTTTCAGTGTAAACAGTTGGATTAAGTTTGTTGCCTCCAAAAAATTTTATTGTGGGAAAAGAAGAAATTTGATATTCACTTTGCAAAGATTTGTATTTCTCAGCATTAATGGCACCGACTTTAATTATCCCCTCTAAGGCTAATGCAACCTTTTTCCACTCAGTTACAAGATTTTGGCAATGTCCACACCAGGGAGCATCTATAAAAATTATTATAAACGTGTTATTATTAATCTAACCTGTAGATCTTACAAAATTCAATTATCCAGGGTTCTTTAGAAGCAATAACTTTTTCTTTAAAAATTTTTTCTGTTAGCTCAAAAACTTTATCTTCATCACGATAAAAAGTTACTCCAGCTTTTGAGAGTTTGCTTGTGCAAACTAGAAAAGACATGTCTAAATAGATTAAAATTGATAAATTAAAAAAAAATTACCTATACAAGCAAAAATTATGTATCTCCACATTGTAAGTGATAAAGTATATGCTTCCTTTCACACCACAGCAACTATTGAAGGGTTCACTCAAGTAAACTAGAAGATAATAAGTGGCGGGCCAACTAGTGATAGGCTAAAAGTTATCCGTTCCATCTCGAGTAAATTTTCTTAAGGGTTGGTCAGGGATGTCCACTGCTTAAAACGCTAATGAACGAATAGTGTTTAAATTAAACGCACCCACGAGTAATGACAGCCTGGCTGAGATCACCGGAGTGATTGATGTCATCCATAAAAGTAGAGATAAAGGAAAGGCTTAAAGGGATGTAAGGTAAAAGTGCGAAGCAATTTAATAAAATATTTGATTCTGCCTTCTTTATACTTATTTGTCAAAGGGCACTATAGCCTACCGGCAGAGCTGTCAGAAATAATGTCATAAACACCTAAGTTTCTAGTCCCCCTTATATTAATTTACAACGCGTATTTTTGTAAAAAAAAGTACAATTGCAGAAGAATTACGAAAAAAATAAACCAAAGCACTATGACCGTTAAGGCTTAATGTAATCCTAAAAATTTTTATCTTTCTTTAAGGTTAGCTAGGTGCACTGTAAATGTGTACTATAAGTTATAATTCCCTAATGACAGAGAGCATAAATTTAAATTGGGTTAATTGCAAGTATTTTTATAGAATTTAAAAGCGAAAATGAGAATTTTCAAACTCCTTGGACCCACTCACTCGAAGCGAGGTCTTCCAACGAATTAATTTAGGTTTTCGGCACTACCCTTTTTATACTGCTTGGAAGTCAGGCGCTGTAGTTTACCAATAAGAATTACAGCAGTCTAGGGGATGGGAACTAATGAATTTCCACGTAAGCTAAGCTAAATTAAAATACTCAATAGCTAGTTTGTATGAGACCTAGAGACCTAAACGTATTCGTAATACTTACTGGGGCTCAATTTTCTTTAAATATCTTTTTGAAACCTATGCTTTCTTAATAATTACATATTATTTTTAACTAATAGAGGTTTAGCTAGATATATTTTCAAAAATGATAAGTGTAAAAAATTAGTTCTTTAAAACCTTTTAATAACCATTGTGTTTGTTGAAAACTACTTTTTACGGCTCTAAGGTCGATTTAAAGATATTATATAGTGTCTGCGAAGGCGGTTTACTGTAAGTTTGTCTTTGGGATTTTGTGTAGCAGCTGCCAGACGTACCAAATGCGACGTAGACAAATAAAGTTCATAAAATAATTTGATAGACGACCATACGCAACTCCTGAAGGTTAGATCTATAGTAGAGAAAATAATTAATTTCCCTTATGATTATCTCCCTTCTAATGAAGGGGGAATTATTATGACCAACATGACTATGTTGTACTATATTACAACTACTAAATAAAATTAGATAAAATAAATAGAGTTAAATAATCTAAAATATAATCAATAAAAATACAATAGAATCAAAGAAATAAATCTAATATAATTCAATAAATTAACTAAAATGTAATTAAAATAAAATGTAATAAACAAATCAAATAAACTTTATTTAAACTAAATAAATAATCTAAATTATAATCTAAATTAATAAAATCTTTTAAATAAAAATATAATCAAATGATTTATACAATAAAATACAATTAAATAAAAATATAATTAAATGAATTATACAATACAAATGAAATATAAATTAACTTAAATGTAATCTAACCTAACTTAACTGAAATAAAATGTAAATAAAATACAAATAAATGAAATAATTTCAACATAATAAAAACAAGCATAATAAACATAAGAAAAATAAACAATAAAAAATAAATATAGTAAATATAATATAATAAAAATAATAATAATAAAAATAAATAATAAAAATTTATATAATACAAATAAACTTAATAAAAATAATTCTTATAGTAAAGTACACTAAATGAAAAATAAGAGACCTATTTTTGGCCACTTTTGACTCTCTTAAGAGGTTGAAAAATACGTTATAAGAGAGCAAGCTAGTTAACTTTCTCTCTGTTGCGCACTTTCTCTCGTGCAAACGGGCTTGCGACGCAATCTTGACTTGACTGTAACTGCAGCAGGTAAGTCCTTAGTTGTTCGATAGTTCGACTCTTTGGCGACTGCATAGGTTGGATACTTAATGGGCATGCTAGGGACGTATTTCGTCAAGGGGCCTCGGACTGTTAGCAATATCTTGATGCTTTCGTTGAGTTGAGTACATTCTGCATGTGCGTAATGATTTGCCGGAAACTGCTATCACCAGGTACATGTTAGTAAAAGCGACCGAAAAAGATCGGTCCTATATATAAAATTGGCGTCTTTAGACACGCTAGTCCTTTAAGCCTTCAGAGGTGTGGACCAAAGTTGGTAATTTGGTTGTCATCCGTCAGTGGATACACATTAGCAATGTAGGTTCGTCATTCTGTGCATACGTTTATCCTCTACTTTCCATTCAGGTCTCATTGACGGTTACGGTCTAATCAACCATATGATCGTGCCTCATTGGTGACACAGCTAATTAGCTGTAAAACTTGTGGAATGTGACTATGATACCTTGTTCAGGAATTGGTGAATTCAAGTTGCTATTTGTGCGACAGAGAGTCGTAGATTTCTTACTATAATTAGCCTAGTGAAATGATTTTTGTCGAAGGATAAACTCTTAAAATTGACAAAAGCTGTCTAAAGATAAAGTCCTTCGGCAGGTTTACCTGTACTACGACTGATTGATACTATGCTTAGCCTCGACGCTATGGAGACATATTTATCAGTTGTTAGTGACTTTACGGAGCATACACTAGCTTATTTGTGACTCTACGCTTTGAGTACTAGCATTGCCTTTCGGAGACGCTCCTTTAGTGAAAATCAATGAAAGAGCTGTGGATATCCTTAGGTTAACTATTAACTTATTGATTGAAGCAGCTAAGTTGGGTAGCTACGATTTTCTTAGTAGCGAATAGTTATGAACGAAAGCGTTTGGAGTAAGTTCTACGTAATGAGTGATGTAATCTAGATCTAAGCCTATCCAAGGCTCGCGGGGGCAGCAAGCGACTGCGTAGTGTCATAGTGTAGATACTACCAAAGGTGTTCGGTTCGGGTACTTTATTGGCTCGATCGTCACTTTTGTCTATAGTACTAGTACCTTTTGCTAGTCTATGTTGATAAACTTTCGCGTGTTCTATAGTATTGGTACTATTGTTTTGTACTGTGTTATATGATACTAGTGTACTTACTATACTATGGTAGATACTAGGTACTAGTACTATATATATGCGGCACCGCCCTTAGTAGACTTCTTTCATTAGTACCTTCGTTTGAAATATAAAAAGTATAAATAACCTCCTTTCGTAAAACAATTTTTAAGATAAAGGATCAAGCTAGGGGCCTATCAAAACCTTGCTGATTTCAAGGTTGAGGTTAACTTTTTGATGCTGTAACTGAGGCGTACAACTAGTAACTTAGACTCTCCTCAGTCAGCTGGGCAATCTTTTGAACTGAAACCCTACAACCTAGCTCCCAAGTGACTTTTATTAATGGCCTTTCTTGCGAAACCGTGCTTGAGTGACTTTACATCTTTAGAAAAAGGGTTATTACCCTCTCTTACAAGTAATATAGGCCCTAGGTACAAAACTAGGGTTAACTCGGTTAGAGAAGTAGTGCTGTAATACCATTATTGGCTTTTGTTTTAAGCTCAAAGGATCTAAGGGTAAGAGGAGTATGTTAATTAGACAGGGTTTCCAACGGCTTGCGTACTTTTTAAGGTTGACTTAAGTTAGGATTGAGCTAGAGTTATAAGTACTTATCTAAGAGTTATTCTCTTGCCATTGGTTCAAGAAGCTAACCTGAAGAAAATGCTACCCTGGTATGTTTAGAAGTGTACTGAAGTTTACTAATAATTGACTAAATAGTACCGACTTTTCATTAAATTTAACAAGTTTTCTAAACTAGCTTAATGTAACAAGCTTTATTTAACAAGTTGAATGTAGTACTATGTTATGAATGCTCTTACCTAGTAGGTACTATATATAATAATCATCTGCCCTTCAGAGTTTTGACTTTTGACCATTAATGTAACACTTCTTGCAGTGGGTAGAAGTGCTGATGGTTCATAACTTATGAGCCTCGCGTTAGTACGGTACACCTTTGATTAAAGTAAGGGTTGCTATTAGCCCCTAGGTTAACCTCGTAAAGCAGTTCAAAAAGATCGACCCTATAGTAAAATACAGTATTACTAGTGTAAGGTAGTTTCGAGCGAACTGTTAGGAGGTATCTTTAATTTGGCATGAACCCGTCACACCCGATGTTCACCATAGGGTTGATTTCTAGTTTACTGTAGTAATCAGACGCCCGGGTATTGGTTAATAACCCTCTACTACCCCTGTGGTATTCTGCCTTTAGCTGAAATTTCAAATAAGCTTGAGTGAGCATCTTCACCTTTTTATTCAAAGGATACACCAAAGACGAGGATCGTAATTATGGTTATCGTGCTCTGGATAAAGGTTAACAGGGGAACTACACTCAATAATGGTAAACCTTACATAGGAAGATACCTTTCGGTGGTTGATCCTATGATAAAAAAACAGATTAGATCTCTATAAACAGTTTTATTTTGACTCGTTTCATTCAAAGCTAAAAGTACTAGAGCTGTGACAAATGAAATAAACCATGGCGCGATAGTATCCCGGGGCTGTAATATACTAGCGCCATTGCCCGCGCTTTGCTAATTGGGCTTTTCTATCAGAAGCTCACGGAGACTCCAGATAAATGACAAGTTTTATACTCATTATCTTTAAGCCTAAGTTATGCAAGTACTGCACCTTACAAAGGCGAATAGTTGCGGACGAAGGCTATGGGTGTATAGACCATTGCTAAATTTATAAAAACTGCACGAAAAGGCTTGCATAATGAGTGAATGCTAAACAGCACTAATTACCTCTTAATCTAGGTGGTGAAGGACTAGCTGAAAACTGGTACAAAGATGTGTTGGTATATAGTACTGTACTAAAGTTGCAAGATTCTATGTAGGGAAATACAGCTCTTGGCGGGGGTTACTTGGCTAACTTGAAGAGTGCTTACTTCTCATATTTGGATAGGTTATATTAGTTAAGAAAGTGCAAATA